GGATTTCAAGACCAGCCTGGGCAACATATTGAGATGCGATCTCTTCAAACAAATAAAAAACTAAAAAAGAAAACGGATCTGTCAGGGAGAGGAATTGCAAAGGGGCACAAGGAAACTTCTGGAACAATGGGTATGTTCATTATTTTGATAGTGGGGACAGTTTTAACAGTTGTGCTAAAACCTATAAAACTATAAATGTTCCATATGTATAGCTTATTGTATGTCAATTATTCCCGAGTAAAGCCATCCACAGAGAAGGGAAAATGTAGCCATTCTTATAGGTTTTGCCTTCTCTTGATAAATGGGAGACATCACTGCTGGGCATCCTTTCTCACCAGTGCTGAAACACTGCCACTCTCTTTGTTGGTACAAAGTTACAGGACTGTATTTACACATTTCTCCCCAGCTCTGCCTCTTCTAATCTAGACGATCATATGCTCAGTCTGGATTACTTTGGTCGCCTCTATAAGCTCTCCTGTTTCTGGTGTTGCTTCCCTTCTTCTACTCTGCAATGACTCCCCATCTCACTCCAACCTACTACTTTGTTTTCTAACATGGCACCCATTTACTTGTCCCTCTGTCTTCATTTCTTTTCCTCTCTTCTCATTCTATTCCATCCACACTTGATTCTGAAACATCCCAGTCATGTTCTGTCTTTCCGCCTTTGTGCTCCCACTTCAAATTTCTCGATGGCTCCTTCTCTCCTTCCAATCTGCATAAACGTTACCCACTAAATGAGGCCTTGCCTGGCTCTCCTATCTAAAACTGTAAGATTACCCCCACCCTTGTTACACAATCTACTTTTATTTTCTGTTTTCCTTTGCTAGAATGTGAGCACGATGAGGGCAGGGACTTTTGTCTGTTTTGTTCACTGTTACATGCTCAGCAGCTAGATAACTGCCTAGCAAATGGTAGATGTTTATTGTTAAATGAATAAATAATTGAATAGGCACCAAAAAAAATGTAACTTTGGAGACCAAATAAGTTTTTTTCCTCCCCTTTGGTCTTCTTGTGAACCTTCTTGGCTCTTCATGAGACACCTTATTGTTAAATGAATAAATAATTGGATGGGTTACCCAAAAAAATGTTACTTATAAGACCAAACAAGCTTTACTGAGCAGTGTAAGTGACTTCCAAAATCATCAACAAGGCAAAGCTCAGTCAAATAAGCTTTGAGACTTTAGACAGAGATGCTGGGAAGCTAAGATAACATTAAACATCACAACGTTTTTATGAATACTCCAAAACTCCAAGCTGTAAACTAGCTTTTCATGGTCTCAGTGATGAGCTGAGAAATACAGAGCAACTTATGTTAAAATAGAGATTCAAGAATTACAGGAACAAATTTCCATCCTTAAGAGGACGCAATTTTTCCCAAATCAAAGCCATGAATGGAAATCCTAGAATTCCAAGAACATTATTGCAAAGTCTCTAATTTCTCGCCTATCACATTCTCAACAGGAAACATGGATTGGTCTCTCTTCCTTTCGTGAGCCTTCCTGGCTGTGTATGGGAGAACTGGAAAATAATGTCAATAATATGAATACTTGACACTAGTTTAAAATCTTAAGAATTGCTTTTCTAGAAAGACAATTTTACAGAAAATGTTTTCTTTCAAACAATGAAACAAAAATGGTAGCCAGTAGTTACTGTTGATCTAAGAGATGTTTCCAAAGGTGTTGCAGTCAAAAAACAAGGTGCTGGACCATATTAAACATTGGGTTTTTAATGCCTTCCCCGCCAAAGTTCGTTTCTTATAGCTAGGAGTAACAAGCAATTACCAGCAAAGCTGGAACAGGAAAATCAAATATTCTCCCTATTTACATATGGTTCCCCGAAGCCATTGCTGATTAAAAATTGTACCATTTCAATCTTCCTACTGGTGATATCTATTAACTAGAACTGCATGTGAAAGCCAATGAATTTAGTATATAATTACACGTATCCTATACAAATTACTTCTCAATGACCTCTACTCATGAAAATAAACCAAAGAGGGATGATTGGCTCATTATAAATCTACAAGAAGATTTCCCTGGGAAAAAGTATTGAGAGCAGAGTCTTGAAAGATCTTAAGCTTCAATTGAATTTAATTTCAGCAGGAAGCAATCACTTCTGTATCTGAATTCCCAATGCATTTTACATGAACCTCTCCAGTGGCAAGGAACTCTCTCCAACTTAAATCCCTGCTCTTGTCACTAAGTAACAATGTGACCTTGGGCAAGCCACTTCCCTTCTCGGTGTTTTCATTTATAAAATGAGAGGCTAGAATCAAGTGATTTCAAAAGTATCTTTCAGACCCAATGTTTCATCATTTCATAATTATAATCATGAGAGCCCACCTAACCTTATCTATTCTCTCAAAGCAAGAAAGGCATTGATTCACCTTTGGAGTTCCCATACAACATAAAACAACTAATTGACAAACATGTTCAAGGACACAGAAAAAAGTACAATACTCTGAAGTGTCCACTCTCTGCGACCTCCTTAAAGCCTTTCTCAACCTCAACCAAGGTTTTAAACTAAATGGTTCCCTTCAAGTCCACCTTTGCCATAGTTCTGCATTCTGCCAAGGATTATAAGATCAGAGAACTAAACAGATGTCATTTGTCACTTATAAGACATGCACCCACCACAGAGTTTCAAGGCACATGATTTGTACTCCATCCGACCCAGAACCACACACACACCCAGATACCTACAGAAAAGTTCTGTTTCATCGAATTAGTTAATCTAATGCATTCCAATCGTCTGAGAGTATGTGACAGAAGGCTACAGCAGACATGGGGGAGAAGTAAAGCTGGAGAAAGGAAAGCGTCAGGACCTGCAAGAAAAAGCAAGTAGAACATCCCCTTAACCTTTTCAGAAGGTAGACATTTTAAAAACCCAGATCCCTGAGGCAGCTACACTGCTGGGATAAGAAACACCTGCTCATAATGACATAGCCTTAGGTGTTAAGATTCCAAAGCCTGGATATCTGTGCTCACATCCTAACTCTGATAATTACTTGCTGCATTACCATGAACAAGTTAATCAGCCTTCTATGACTCAGTTTCCTCATCTGTAAAATGAGGACAGCAATTTACTACTTTGTTCTTTGGGCTGTTGGGAAGATAAAATGAGTTAATACATGCAAAATGTTTACAACAGCATATAGCACATAGTAGGTGCTCAATAAATGAGCATTCCCAGTATTGCTATTATTATTAGAGTGCTAAGAATTTCTTGGGTTAAGAGAACAAAGAAGTTTGCACCCTGCTATTACAGATTCAGATTCTGCAGTTCCCTCTTTCAGGTGATGACTGCAAGTACCAACATTTCTATATTTATATATAATTTATATTTGTATACTTTATCAGTCTTAATTACTCCTGAGCATAGAATCTATTCATTAGACATTAAATTCCTTTCTGAAAGATAGTCTAGGTTTCAAAAACTACTTGATGACCCACGCGAAGGGAGTACAATAGGACCATTAAACTGGAGGGCTGAGCGTAATTGGGAGCACAAAGACATCTTTGTAGAGCTTTGTACTATCACGTACCACTGCTTCGGGTTTGGAGAGTTGTCTCCTTAAGAAAGAAACTAACTCCATTGTTCGTTCACATCAGAGTTCTTGGATGTGATAGTTCTTAAATCCCTGGCAAGTCCTTATTAAAGATCAGAGGATCTCGGTTCTTTCCATTAGGACAGCATTAAATCCCTTCGAGCGATTTTCTTAGGTCAGCATCATTATTTGAAATGCCAGCGAAAGTAGTGAAATTTCCAAACGCTAAACGAGTTCCTTGTTTCGGACTGAAGATACAAGGTGAAGTTAGAAAAACTATTAGTAGTCCTGAGGAAATTTTTGAGACTGGGAAATTGTAAAAAATTTAAAGAGTACTTTAAAGATCTTTTTTTCTCTTAAATCTCTTTTCCAAAACAGCCATTTTGGTAAACAAACAAACAACAACAAAAAAAAATAACAACAAACAAAACTCCAATCAAACAACTAGAGTAGTCGGAAAAGTTCCAGTCATTTCCTGATGAGATTATCTAGAATTCTGGTTGTCCAAACATCTTTCAGTGAATCAGACAGGAGAAGTAATACTATGTCTTGTATTCCTTTGCCAAATAATCAGGCACAAAAGAAAGTCAACAGTGGTCATGCTCTCCTCGATCTGTTCAACTACCATTTTTGTAATTCTGTTCTCAGGAAATAATGAGAGCCATAAACGCACAGAAACAATAACAGAATGGAAATTTGGGTGGGCTTCTGAGAGGCAGCCTATGATCTCTGTTCCAAGGGGATTATATGTCAGAAAATCCAAAAACAAGTCTACCAAAGCCACCCGACAAGGTCTAAAACTGCAGAACTGGATAGAGGGCTAGGGAGTTTCCTGAAAATAGAGGACTGTCTGCTTCCAAAACCTACCTCAACTGCTTCTGGCAAGGAAGAACAGTAGCTACAAACTATATGAAGCCAAGAACAAGTCCATATTTGACAAATCACACCCCTCAAGTTAGTGATGTCAACCATAATAAAATATTTTGGCAAGCCTGGAAATGTGCACCTGTGGGAACCTGGAAAGATTTGACAGATTTTTGTTTTCCCAGCCCTTTATCAGCAAGTTAATTATAGCAACTGTACAATCTCCTCTGAGCTCTAGAGAAAGACAGTTGGCTGTATGAAACCAAGAGGCTGCTCTCCTGGGCACACGAGAGACAAATGACAGTCAGTAGTGCTTACGTGCGAAAATATTCTGAGTACAGTATAACAATGAGCCAGCTAGCATGCCTAGATGAGAAAGAGGCATATTCTGCAGACATACACTGTGACAAGACTAAAAAGGACACGTGTTACACACACGCGCACACACACACACACACACACACACACGCGCGCATGCACACACACAAGCAAACATGCTCATGTACATGCATGTGTATCTCCAGAGCCTAAACATACGACTGGTCATATTATTACATACAGGGCTGTTTTTTCCCAGTGCAGACTGTACCTTCACAGCTGTAACTGTACACTGCCACCGCTGACCTGTCCACCAGATTTTCATCATGATGCCAGCTCACTGCCATTTTCCCCATGCCAAAATAAGGTTCCTCTTTCAGGTATGGCATTTTCTGAGGATCCATGAAATTCAGCAAAGTTACGTTGTATGCTGCTCTGCTCTTAAGGTCCACTTCGTCTTGTCCATCGTAGGATGAGCCCATCCCAACCCTGGGGAAATCCGCAGACATACACAATGGCACGGCATCTTCATTAGCTTTCTCTTTGGTAGCGAGTTCTTCCAAAGCCTGGATGGTTTCTATCTGCAGGTAGTCATTGAGCTTGAGGAAGGTCTCACAAGCAGTGGCTATTTCAGCCTCGGTGTGTTTTATATTAGACCCTTTCACCGGCCAAGGGACTGTAAAGAGCCTGGTGTTCAGGTACTTGTAGGTGCAGCCCGGATTACCAATGAGGATGCGAGATACCGGAGTGAGCAGATCTTTGCCTTGGATCCTAACCAGGTCCCGAAATAGGCAGCCATGCTTGTGCAGTGTGAGAAAGGCTTCTTGAACCTCTTTATGGAGCTCCTCGGATACACTGCCAGCTTCTCGGAGAATTAGTTTAGGATATTTCAGCTGCCACTAAAACAAAACCAAAGCAAAACACATGTTTATGGACAGACGTTCACCATTTTATTATTTCCAAAGGTATGTTTCTTTGTAGGCATTTGAGGAGTTGTGGGGGACTACCTGGTGTTATTTCTAAGCAGGATTCACATCTTCCTAGCCCAAAACAGAAAACCAAATACAACAAATGTCATCAAACTCTACGGTCAAGATATTCAAGTTCAAACCCAAATTATTAACAATCTTTAATAAAAAAATAAACAATAATAATGTGGGTCCTGATACCCCAGGATTACTCTGTGACTACTTTTTCTCACCCTAAATCTCTTTCTAGCCTTTGCCCTCCAGAAAATACCACTTTATTAACTGCTTATTATCTATAATATTTATTAAGTGCTTACTATGAACCAAATACTGTCATAAATTATTTGTGTGTGTTAGCTCATTTTAACTTCATGCAGAGCATTATTATCTCCAGTTTATAGATGACACCACTGAAACACAGAGACATTAACAATTTTCCCAAAGTCACACAGCTAGTGAATACTGGAGCTGGAATTTAAAGCCCCTGGGCTCCAGAGTCCAGCTGGTTCCAGGGCATGAGTTCTTAACTATAAGAATGCATTGTCTCTCAATAAATAACAAACTGGTTTCTGCTTAACACTTTCACGAAAAGAGAACTCACTTCTCTTCGGCAGTTAGACATTAAGTTCCATGAACACAAAAGCCATGGCAATGTTACTCATGTCTATGAGTGCCCAGAATTTACTCAGTAAATAGTAAAGGAATGAATAAATGGAATTGTGGGGGATGAATGAGGTGGTATTACACTGCAATTCTAGAAAGTTCTAATAATTGTACTGGTGTCACTGGCGGAGAGTAATATTAGCCAATTCCCTCCCCTAATACAGAAATACATGGAATTATTCATGTAGGTTAGGACTACATTAGCTTCTCAGCCACCACTTTCCTTAGGCCTTGACATGTGAATCGGTGTTAAGCTGGACTTTCCTGATTCTGTATAATACAACTGATTTATTTTTAACTAAATCACAGGATTTTACATTTATCCGTGTAACGTTTGATCTGATCTGTTCCTTGCTAGTTTTAGGCTGTCTTAAAGGAGTCAGACATGATCAACACATTAACCTGTTCTCCTTGTATTGTGCTGCCCACCATTGTTAAGACACCTTCCTTCTGTGTCTTCATTCAGTAATTACCATTCATATGATAGGGTAAGACCAGTATTCTTCCATACATTGTTTCTGATGCAACATCTGTTTATTGAGCACCTATCAACAGATGGAAATAAGGTCCCAGCTCTCACAAAGCTTTCTACCAAATTAAGTAAACAGATAAAGAAAAGCAACCCCAAATTGTTAGGTACAAAGACAGAAACAAACCAGTAGGTACGAAGACAGAAACAAACCAGTAGGAAATCTTATTAGAGCAGGAAGAATTCTCTAAGAAGACAGAATTTAAGCTCAGATCTTCAGGAAAAGAAGGTACCAGAAATATGACAAGCCAGAAAAAGGCTTCCCAGAAAGAGAGACTAAAGAAGCCAAAGGCACCCAGGAAAAAGACCAGCCTATTCTAGGGACCAAAAAAAAAAAGTTGGCTTTACTAGAGCAAAAGAGCCAAACACAGAGTGACATGTGACGAGGAGGCAGAGGACGGCAGAGGCCGGATCACACAGAGCCCTGGAGGTCGTGGTAAAGAATCTGGAACTAACTCTAGATGTACTGAAGGATTTCGAAAGAAGAAAAATAACTTGATTTACATTTTATAAAAATCGCTCTTAGTTATAACATCAGGCATGGACTGGAAAGAGGCAAATGTGAGTGTGGAATGTGCTATTACAATCATCTGGGAGAAAAGTGAAGGCGATCTGGACTAAAATAGAACCAGAGATAAATGGACAGATACATACTTTGTAGGCAGAACAAAAGGATATGCTTATGAATTAGATGTAAAGGATAAAAAAATGATAGAATTTTGTTTTTGAGTTGAAGTTTCACTCTTACTGCCCAGGCTGGAGTGCAATGCTGCGATCTTGGCTCACCATAACCTCCACCTCCCGGGTTCAAGCAATTCTCCTGTCTGAGCCTCCTGAGTAGCTGAGATTACAGGCACGTACCACCACACCCAGCTAATTTTGTATTTTTAATAGAGACAAGGTTTCTCCATGTTGGTCAGGAAATAAGTTAAGGATATATTCTGGATTTAACAACTAAATAAACAATTTATTGTTTTGTGAAATAAGGAAAACTGAGGCGAAAGACAAATAGAAAGAAGAAAAGGGGGAAATGAAGATTTCACTCTGGAACTGCAGCCTTGAAGATACCTATGAAACCTCCAGATGAAAATAACAAGCGGGAACTGGATGTACACATCTGCAGCTCAGAAGAGAAAGTAAGGCAGAGGAATGTAATGTGAGGGTGATCAGCTCACGGCTGGGTTTTAAAGGCCTGGAAATGAACAAGATCACCTAGGGAAAAAGGAAAAATACCAAAAGGAGACCAGAGTTATTTCCTGCGTCCCAGCAGAAGCCTGAACAAAGGAGAACCAGTAGAAAACCAGCAGAGTGTATTAATGCAGACGCTAAAAGAGGAGAGCATCTGAAGAAGGATGGGGTAGTTAACCATGTCAACTGCCACTGAGAGGCCAAGTGAGACGTGGACAGATGAACAGATAGATTTGACAGCGTGGAAATCACTGATGACAATGGCAAGAGCAACCTCAGCAGAGGGGTGGGTGTGAAGTCAGACTGGGGTAGATGAGGATGGAATGGAAGAGGAGGAACCAAGATGGTAGGCAGGGCTGTCTCTGAATGCTTCTTCCATGAAGGGGAGTAGAAAAATGGATCTTTTCACAAAGGAGAGTGCTAGACTAAGGGATACTCTCTAATGACAGAAGACACTAGAGAACACTAGAGTTTCTCTGCACACTCATGAGAATGATACAAGAGAAAGAGGTTGATGATGCAGAAGAGAGAGAGCGAATAACCACAGAAGCGGAGACCTTCAGTGTCTACAGCGGTAGCTCCCAAGTCGGGTATGCAGGGATTTGTAACGTGATCCCGTAGAGTGGTGGGGCACAGAGAAGAGATTGTAGAACTGATTTATTTTTAATACAAAATGAAACAAATTAAGCATTGTTAAAATACGTATGCATATATATATACATATATACACATATACACATATACACACACACAAATAAGTTTAATATGAATATTACTGTAAAATATACACAAGTACATGAGTACTACTGGTGGTGTGCTGGAGTCACCACACCGGCTCATGAGCGCACTGTGTACATGTCTTTCCAACTGCACATTCAGTAACACCATGATGGTGGCTTGAAACTGTCCGTGGTGAGAATATTTACACTGCGGAAATCAAAACACACTAAAAATCAAGGTTGGTTCTTTTCCCCTAAAGGCCACTTGTTAAACATTTTCTAGGATGTCACTGTATGTGCTCGAAATTTGTCACTGATAAAGAGTATGTGATCAAAAACATTTGGATAGGGAGAAGATACCTCTTACATTGGAATAGGCTAGAAGGAGAAAGAAGGTATAAATTCAGATAGGATGAGAAATTTAATAGTAGACAGGTGAGTATGTTCTAGGTTTCTTTTGGAGGGAGTGGTGGTTAGAGAATGCTTTGACTTTCTCAGTGAAGTTAAGGTGAATCATTAGCTAAGAATGTATCCTGATCATTAGAGCCGTTTGCCAAATAGTTCTGGATTCCTCCCCTGCCACCCAGCTTTTTGGGTTCAGTGTGGGATTACACTTCCTGGCCTCCTCATGATGGATGAAACATGGGACTACTTCTGTCCAGTGAGAAATGATGGCCATCCCTCCCAGCCTGGACATGTCATTGACAGTGCAAGACCCACTAGGATACTCTGCACCCACAGTAGCCAGCTGGTGGCTGCTTGGATCTCTGAGCTACTTTAATGGGTAGTGACTCTGTACGAACCCACAAATGATACATAAAATGGACCAGAAATATTATTGTGCGAAGCCATTGAGATTTGAAAGTTATCTGTTACTATAGCATAATCCAGCCTGTTCTGGCTGAGGAAGAGTGCAGGAGATATTATGGAAGACATACAGAAACCAGGATGAAGTAAACAAAAGAAAAACAAATGTGTCAAATCTGAACATGGAAAAATGACTTTACTAGGTAAGCATGGTAGGAATGTCCTGCTTCTCAAAATGTCAATCTGAGGTGTTGACCATGAATTGAAAGTGACAAAGAGAGGAGTCATGTGGCATACCACTATGCACTGTCATTGAGACTGTCAGGGATCCATGTAGGATTTAGAGTTTCCATATTTCAGTTATCCCAATTGGAAAACAGAAACAGTGATGTTGTACTTTCTATTTGCATAGCTCATAAAGAAAGCAATGCAATCCTGTAGGCAGAGACCAAACATTCTAGAGCCATAAGCAGTAACTAATTCTATCACTCTACTGGTTATTTTCTAAGCAAGTCCCTGAGGCCTTAGCATACTCAATGCAATGATGACGAAGTGATGAAGAAGGTAATTTCTTCTCACTGTCTTAACACCTCCAATACTCTCTGAATGGTCCTTAGTATAAAACCATAAAGAAAAGTACGGTAATTCCCAAGAACTTAGTTTTTGAACACACTCCCCTCTGGGATTAAGAAAGGAATACTGAAATAATGCACTCATCTGCACAAATGCCTGCCCTCCTCCCATTGAAATCTTGCTGCTCTTGTTCAGCATATACTGACTGGGTCTCAATACTACATAAGATCTATTTAACACAGGGAAATTATAACCCTATGCACCAGGAAATCCATGTAACCATATAAATATCATCTGTACATACCCTGACATGAAAAACATCACAAAAAGAAAATAATGACATGGGAAAATATTCCATTTTTTTCCCACTTAGATCATGTCCCTTTTCTCTATGACCACATGTGCTTCTATTCCTGCAGTCCTCAAGTGCCTAGCACTTCAGCAGCCTTTTC